GCCCTGGGCGAACCGTCCTGGCAGCACCGTGCGTCCGGCGGGAACAGACACTGAGGGAAACGTGGGGGGAGATCCCATGAGCTGGCATGTTCAAATCGAGGCGAGGCAAAGCCGAGGCCGCGTGCGACGGGGCGCTGTCGTCTTAGCCAGCGAACGGGCCGGCTGGTGCCTGCTGTGCCCTTCCTCTAGAGGCTGTGGCTGCATCTGCACTGCGATGAGACCCCTGTGGTTTGCCCAGGCCAGCCCACTAGGGCTCGTGGGCCTCAGGTGCGGTGTTGCTGCCCAAGCTCTGGGGCTCTCCCACTTCTGAGGGTCCTAGAACCCGGAATTAAACAGCCACTGAGCCCAAGCCCCAAAGGCCGGAGTCAGCCGTGGGTGTCAGCTGCAGTACAGACATACCCTATGTTTCTATTAGGACGCCAGAGCCCGCGACTAAAATGCCCTCTGATGCCCACTGTGGCTGGTGGCACCGGTCTTGTCCTGAAATCTCTCTGAAAGCACCAACGTTGCAACGGGCTAATGCCTCGCACTAAGGTGTTTGGCTGGCAGGTCTGGCAGTGAAAGCTGGCTGCCTGCAGGGTCATTACAGGCCAGCGCGAGGCTGGCTAGTAACACTTGCTCCAGTCTGCCTAGTTACGCCTCTGGTTTCAGTGTGGACCCACAGCTCCCATCCCGTTGAGCTGGGGGTGCGTCCTCTTCTGCCCGCAGGTGGAAAGGGAAAGATCCGTTCTGGGAGCCATCGGGTGCCAGAGGATGTCCTAGGAGCAAGGCTCCTCGTGTTTGAGGCCCTGTGCTGCTGGCAGAAGTTCCTCTAATTGTAGATTTCCTCTGTCTTGTCCATCAAAGGCTCGTCTCCCACAGCCACTGGGCAGTTCCCCCCTAAGGTGCATGGGGCTGGTTCGGAAGGGTGGGGGTGCAGCTATTCCCTGGGGTTGACTGGACAAACCAGTGTTGTGTGGCGCAGCGTCTGGGCCAGGCACATGCGGTCACTCTGCAAGCAGCTGCTGGGTGAGTGCCCGGTGGCTGCGGGAGATGAGCCACTGATGGACAAGACAAAGGAAATTGTACAGTTAGAGGAACTTCTGCCAGCAGCACCAGGCCTCAAACTTGAGGAGCCTTGCTCCTAGGAGTGCCTTACAGATACGACCTGTCCCCACCCTGGCTCGGGAGGGGAGGGGATGGAAGAGGCTGGCTGGAGAAAAGCAGGGACGCCATGCCGTGAGGCGTGGGTGATGTGAGCTCACGGCTTCTAGTGTGTCCTTTGCTATAAACGGTGCTGGACCAGCACCCTGGAAAGCTGGGGTACCGGATGGTGATATCACAGCGGTTAGTCTCTGCTCTGTCGGTACAGGGGCTGCCCCATTGCTTGATCACGGGACTAGGAAGTAAGAGATCTGGGTTCTCCTCTGTGTGTTGGGCGTGTCGCTCAAGTCCCCAGCCAGTGCTGCTGGGTTGATGCTGGCACGGGCACCTATGGGTGACGGGTGAAGAAATGCCCCTTGTGCTGGAGGCCATGTAAATACTTCAGCCAGATCTGCTTGAGATCAGGGAGCACTTTAAACCCAGTGCTGGGGGTCGGGGACCCGTTTCTAGCTCCTTGCAGGATGGGGATATTTTTTCCCTAAGAAGCAGGGCTTGAAACCTGTCTCTGCCGGTGGGATGGGCAAAGGCCCCTGCTAGAGCTTGCAGACAGCTGGGGCTCTGAGCCCCCTGGCTCTGCATGTTTGGCGGTATTTGGGGAGAGCCGGAGAGGAGGCAGCGGTTGCTAGGAAGACCTGCAAAGCTCTTAACCTCCCCTGCCTGCTCCGCTTGTCACAGGGGAGGAGAACCAGCCTGGATGGCTGTGCCCTGACGAAGACAAGAAAAGCAAGGCTCCCTTCTGGTGCCCCATCCTGGCGTGTCGCATGCCCGCCTTCTCCTCCAAGGCCCTCGACCTGCAGGTAAGAACCTGGCCTCTTCTCTTCTCTCTCCTCCCCTCCCCTCCCCTGAGCTGCGTAGGCTGCCAGATGGGGTGGGCTGTTTGGCTGCCCTGCGTGAATGTGTCACTGTCTTTCTGCTGCCTCTCTTGGCCTGCATGGCCCTGCTCGTAGGGGACGTGGGGACAGGTTCCCCAGTCAGGACATGGGTTTTTGTGTCCTTTTGGAAAACCCTAACAGGGGAAGGTGGGGGATTATCAGATGTGATGCCCTGCTGTAGGGCAGGCCAGTAGTAGAATCGGGGTGAGTCGTGTGGCTGCTGCAGGCGAGAAGCCAGCCAAAGAGAGGGTGGCGGCTCAGAAGTTCAGGGAGAGAAGCGAGGGGAGTCTCTGACACTGGATTATGGGGCAGGAGCAGTTCCAGGTGCTGCGTCAATGCTGGCTCAGGTGTCCCAGGTAAGCCCTCGTGTCCTGCGGCGGCTGCTGAGGGTAACTGAATAGGCAGAACTGGCCTGGGGGGGTGGGGGGTGGGGTCAAGCCAATGGGTCCTGGGGAGACAGAGAGGGGTGGACTCTCCTTTCCACCATCTAATGTGGAACAGAACGCGCTGTGCACCCGGAGCCAGCCGCAGGCTCAGTGCGGCACAACATGCTGGCAAGGCTGTTCCCCACTCCGGCGCTTCGAGTGCAGAAGGGGGAGCCCGCAAGAGACTTTAAAAATACCCTGCCCTATCAGCTTCTGCTTTAAACTCCCCAAGGTCACCGATTCCCTGGTCTTGGGAAGGACGCTGCCGCCACCCACGTGCAAAACCCCTCTCCCGAACCCAGGACTCCCTTGGGAATTTCTTCCTGCGGGTTCCCCCAGCTCTTTTACCCTCCTTCAGGAGAGCGTTTGAAAACAAACTGTAATTTCTAATAGCTGCTGCCTCCGTCTCAGGCACATGCACGCGGACCCTCCTGCTTTGTAGTTCACAGGAATCCAGTCAGAGCCTTAAAAATGATGATGTGATTTGGTCGCCGGGTATCACAGAGCAACCCAGGAAAAGCTGAAAGTGCAGAGAATGGCTTCCTTGGGGGTTAGTTTCAGAGGGACCAGAGAAGAGCAACGAGAATGATGAAAGGTCTAGAGAACATGACCTATGAGGGAAGACTGAAGGAATTGGGTTTGTTTAGTTTAGAAAAGAGAAGACTGAGGGGCGACATGAGAGCAGTTTTCAGGTATCTAAAAGGGTGTCATGAGGAGGAGGGAGAAAACTTGTTCATCTTGGCCTCTGAGGATAGAACAAGAAGCAATGGGCTTCAACTGCAGCAAGGAAGCTCAGGTTGGACGTTAGGAAAGTTCCTAACTGTCAGGGTGGTCAAACACTGGGATAAATTGCCCAGAGAGGTTGTGGAATCCCCATCTCTGGAGATATTTAAGAGTAGGGTAGATAAATGTCTATCAGGGATGGTCTAGACAGTATTTGGTCCTGCCATGAGGGCAGGGGACTGGACTCGATGACCTCTCGAGGTCCCTTCCAGTCCTACTATTCTATGATTCTGTGATTCAGTTACTGGGTGCAGGGGGGTTAGCACTGAGGCCTTTAACCAAACCAAAACCAAAGAAAATATCCTGCTCTCGTCTAACTAGAAGCATCTCTGTTCACTCACCTGGCCTTTGCTCCAGGGTTCAGCCTTTCCTTAGGCATAGATAGCGCCAAAAATCCAAGCCTGGGTCAGTCCAACTCTCTCTCCCCACCTCCTGCTCGAAAAACCCACACGCAAAGGGAAACCTGCTCTCTTCCCATTGGCTCTCCTGGCTCCCTGCCCACACGGCCTGGATACCCCCTGGTCTGCTTTTAACCCTTTAGTTACCGAATGCTGGGATGTCTAAAAAAGAACCGTACCCCTCCCATCCATCACACGTGCATGTGCCATGGAGAGGGCTGGGAGGCTGGTGGCTTAGGGGGATGGCAGCCACGGTACCATCGAAAGAGTCATGGATTTCCTGACGCTTCTGCCTGCTCCGTTTCCACCCATGGCAAGAAATGCCCCCCTCGAAAGCGGTATCCATGGAAATATCCTGGCCAGTTGGCTTTTTTGGATGGTGCCTCATCCTTGTCTATAACCCTGAAGTCCTGAAAGGGATAATCTCTCTTAACCCAGGTCTTCAAAGCATTTAAGATAGGAACCATGAACCGTTCCAGTAGCCTTCTGAGGTAGGGGCGTCACATCCTCCTGGGGAAACTGAGGCACAGAGTCTCCAAGAACAGAACCCAGGAGTTCTGTCTCCTAGTCTCTCTCTAGCAGGCAGTGGTGTCTCTTGGTGTGTCGTGGCTAACAGGCGGGTACCATGCTCAGTGATCTCCTCTTGCGTCTATGTCAAGAGAGACCCCCTCTCTCTCCCCCAGCTTCCCTGTTGCCATTCATTAGAGAAGTAACCCAATCAGTGGGAGGAATTAGGCCTTTCCTCCCATTACCGACGGTCACAGATGGGATGTGGTCGAGCTGCTGGCTCCCTTCCCCCACCCCCACCCCCAGCCAGCTCCGTCGGGTTCGTCAGTGGAGGAACATTCCTTCTGGAGCGCTCGCTGCCGTGTCGGCTAATTAGAGCAAATGGCAGCTTGTCTCTCCCAGGCACGCTGCTTTCCTATCAGCCCTGTCGGTGAGGCTCTACGGTTGTTTTCCAACATGCTAATAGCCACTCCAGCGGGAGGAGTTCAGCGCTCCGATTACGTCTTTAATCTTCGCAGTTCCTGTGCCTAGGTGACATCCTGCAGAGCGCTTGCAGTGTCCTGACTTCACACTGAAGTCTCGCTGGGGTCCCGGGGCTGGGGAACTTCTAGTCCAGGGCTGGGGAATCTTTATTGGGTTGGAGGCCGCTGACCCACAGAAAAATCAGTCGAGGGCCGCACACAAGTGAGAAGCAAAAGGGGAGAAAAAAACCCGAAACCCCTCACTGACATGGCCCCTGACTGAGAAGCAGAAAGATACTCGCCTGCCTCGCACACCAGGCGCAGGCTAGTAGATTTTGTGTGCTCCAGCGCCGCAGAGGGACATTGGGGGGGGCTAAAGTGTCCGTGAGGACTCCCCAATTCTGGGTGGAAGGAGCCCTGAGCCTCGGGGGCTGGATGCAGGCAAGCTGGGGGCTGCATCCAGCCTCTGAGCCTAACCCCAATTCTAGTCTTTTTCTATGGAGCCTTAAGCTTTCCAGATCCTCGCCAAATTCAGACTAAGCTCCCTGGTTCTCCCCCTTGGCAGCAGGACACAGGGTATGTCTACACTACCCCGCTAGTTCGAACTAGCAGGAGTAATGTAGTCATCCGCAGTTGCAAATGAAGCCCGGGATTTAAATTTCCCAGGCTTCATTTGCATGAAGCCCGGCGG